TTATTTAATGAAGATAGAGATGAATGTTTTGAGAAAAAGTGAAGAGTGAATATGAAAAGACGTAATATATTTATTGGCTAAATGAGGGTAATAATAGAAAAATATGTACAAAATACCCAAAACGACATTTATTTGACAAATAGTTGAAAAAACTAGAATGACATTTAAAAAAAATAAGAGGGAGTACTATTTTATTATTCCATTTCACATGTAAGCATGAGTTTTAATGAATTATTATAAATTTGAAAGATAATTATTAACAATATTGTTATTGTACTTCATACGAAAATATTTAAGTCACATGAAACATAGTGATAGACGGTATAGTCTTTAAAAATAATTTTTAACTAGCCTTTTTTTATTTTTTTAATATATTTTTCTCTTTTTATTTTTGATTTTTTTGTATATTATTATTAATATTATAGCCTGCATATCCCGTTTAACCCAAAGCCCGCTAGGGTTAGGGTTAGGCTCCTTTTTTGGTAGCCTGTTTAAATTCGAGCTTTTTAGGCCCGGACCGTTTAACCCAAAGCCCGCTAGGGCTAGTCCGAAACCGCTAGGGCTAGTCGGTTTAACATCTCTAGTGACACGTTGTGTCATTTTTTTAGCCCAGAATTCCATTTTTGACCAAAGTTGTCCTCAAATTAATAAATTTTTAATTTTTTTTGGACGTCTTTTGAAATATTTTAAGAGTACAGGTTATTTTTTGAATCGTTTTCGACGGGGCATGTGATACTCCGGCAATAATTATTCATGTTTTTTATACACAATTTAAAAGTTACACTACATAAAAATATACTACTAACTAATGTAATCAAATACTTTAATTACCTAAAATATAATATATCCATGTATATTGTATCAATCCCAATACAGTTACTATTTCTTTATTTTACCTAAAATATAATATATCCATGTAGTATATTTTATTACTTTATGCAAATGAATAAATAAATAAATAAATAAATAAATTTTAATATGATTTAAAAATAATAGTATATTTTTCTTATTGTAAAAGGCGCCTAGATAGCGGGACTCGTCAGTTTATGCGTGACTAACTTAATAACTAAACAGGCGCATAATCCAATTTTTAAAACACTTAATAATTAAGTAATAATTATATTTTGTTTTTTTATGGGAAAATGAACACAATAAGATCACTTTCTCGCTGAATAAATGTCGTTTTGGATTTTTTTGTATATTTTTCCCTTATTACCCTCGTTTAGCTAATAAATGCATTACGTCTTTTCATTTTCACTTTTCGCATTTTCTCAAAACATTTATCTCTATCTTCACTAAATAAAGTTATTATTGACAACAAAAATATTTTTAATTATTGTGCAACTTCTCAAAACGGCATATATTAAAAATAGGAGATAGTACTATTCTCTGTGATATGCTAAAGTGCACATGAAAGTCACATACTTTTTTTATCGCAACAAGCTACTTCCTCCTATTTTTATTATTTGTCGTTTAGAGAAGCAACACGCTAATTAAGAACTTTTTTTTCTTGTCAATATAACTCTATTTGATGGTTGTTATGGGAAACAATGGAGATGAGATATGAAGAGACATTGTGCATTAGATGAAGGGTTAAAAATGGAAAAATATGAACAAAATAGCCAAAACGACATTTATTTAATCTATTATCAATTAAGCTAGGATGACAAATAATAAAAATCGGAGAGAGTATTTACTTTAATATATCAATATTCTTCCTTTTATTTCATCCCATTAAGATTTTTCTTTAAAAAATATAGCTAACTGTTTTTCTAATAGCATAATAAAACTCTTAAAATTGCATGATAATTTATGCTTATTAATAATCATTATACTATTGTTTGTGTTAATTAACCGGTTATGATCCATAATTGCAAACATTATATTATTCACTACATGTACAATATTTCATTTTATGATTGCCTCGTACGTAAGTAAATAATTTATATATATCTTTATTAATTAATGATAAAATTTATAAAATATGATATATCTATTAATTTATGGTTTAAAATAAAAAAATAATATACCCAATATATTCTCAACAGGTTGGGGTCTGGGGGGTCAGTTGTACGCAAACCTTACCCTTGTAATTATGCAAGGAGGTTGTTTCCGTGATATAATTTAATTATAATATCTTATTTTATCTTTAAAGATTTTTCCCTCCTCTCACTAAGTTGACATTTTTGCTCTGTAAAATATCATTGGCATGGCTTTTTCCCTCCTCTCACTAAGTTGGCTGCAATTGGATGTATTTCAATGGGTGAAATTTTATATTATTGGTGAAGGAAGATTTAGAGGAAGAATTAATGATTTTAATATGTAAATGATTATGTGATATGTATTATAAAATCTATTACTCTATGACTTATACAACGACCGTGTATTACATAGGTGCTTGCTAATTTTTTCTTAAATCTAAAATTGATGAGAAAAGTCATTGAAAATTTAAATACCTTTTATAAAAAATATATATATTATTATATATTTAGTATGACACTTTTTTATTTGTGCGACTTACATATGTTATATTATAATAATTTTGTTAACTTACAACATATAACTACATTAAACATAAATATATCAATTGAGAAATAATTTAATTTTCTAATGAATTTTAATAAATATTATTATTTTTATTATTCAACATCAACATACCCAGTATATTCTCAACGAGTTGGGGTCTGGGGGGGTCAGTTGTACGCAACCTTACCCTTGTAATTATACAAGGAGGCTGTTTCCATAGCGACCCAAGGTGCGTTGCGTCGTTTGATATATTTTTTTCTAGAAACTTCACTAATAGAAGAAGCACTAGAATTTAATTGAGCCATTTTGATCTAGTCCATTATTAGCACTATGCCAGTAGAATTGTCAACAATGACTCTTCCAGCTCCATATGCAATGGACATAATTATTTTTATTATTATAAAGATAAATATAATTTATTTATTTCATATATACAATATGGATGTCAAATCAAAGACCATCAAAAGATGATTAATTTGATATATTATATATGTAAAACTGATAAGAAATACAAAAGTTATCAACTTTTAAAATACATTTACAATTCAATAGCTAATTGAATGAAACAAATCAAAAGTCATGGATATATTAGTCACTTAGTATCTCACTATGTAAAATTACAAAGAAGTAAAGGGTTATGTTAGTACAAGTGATATTAAAATACCTAAGTTACCTAACAAAATTTATGGAATGTCCGAACTTAGATTATTAATTATTAATATATCAACATTATTTGTCCAAACCTAATTACGAAGCATGATTCTTCGCCACGTAGGATTCCGAAGCACCAGAAACAACCACGTAGACTCAACGCATTCGAGAATTATATATGGGGAGGGGATATGACACGAACAAAAGAAAATAATAGTTTATAGTTATAAATATATATGTGTGTGAGCGAATGGTAAATTTTATAGTGGATTTGCTATACTATGAGTCGTCTTATAAATTGAACCTAAGAGAGAATTGCTCTGGCTGGTCATATTTAATTGTTATGTGGTCCAATATGAAATCCATTGAATGAGATTTGAGATTTTCCCCAATGAAAAAGTAAAAAATAAAAATAAAATATACCCAATTTGTCCACTTTTTTTTTTTTAAATATATTTTATATGCACATTTTTGGCTTAATCATGTATGTTAGAAAATAAATGGCAATCTTTGTTAAAATGGAATAATTTCAAGATTGGTGACTAATAACTAATTACCAAAATATCACTTAGAATGGAATATCTTCCAGCTTGGTGTTTCTTTCAACTAATAACTAATTACCAAAAAGCTCAACAAATTTTAATAGAATACATTCACAGATTTGAATCACAATCAAAGACGACGGCAGATCGGTAAGAGATTGAAGATGGCGTTTATCTCCAAGGGGAAGTTCTTTGTCTTTGAAAAAATTAGGCAGTGTGTTGAGGGAATGACGAGAGGCGGTCCGGCCAAGGAAGACTTTGATGTTAAGGTCGACAGTATATGTTGCGTTTATATACAATATATTTTTAGTGTTGGTGTTCTTGTTGGCACTCTATGTTTATGTTCAATACATAATGTATTGTTGAGTTTTACCTTTATACATGTTTGTAAAATTACCTCCTATAATGTGTTTATGTTGAGTATATAATGTTTTTTTTTTTTTTTTAACAGGACAAATTTACTAATTTGCACATGTTTGCTTTATACTAATTTACACATGTTTATAATATATATTGACTATGAACGCAATATATTAACCAAAATTCACACACTTTATATAAATAAAAATCTCATTGTATTCATAACATACTAGTATTCGACCCTGTGCATTTGCACAGTTGTAAATAAAGTATTGTGAGTTATTTGTATGCATATAATGATTAATTTTTTTTTTCTTTCACCTTTTTGCTGGCCAAATTTATAATTAAAGGAGTTGAAATATTTATTTTTTTAAATTACGTTTATCTGATTGGATGTAATGTATATTTTGGTGCATCTTTTTTTGTGAATTTTTTATTATTTATTTAGGAATTTCAAATATGTTTTTATTTTAAAAAAAATAATTTAAATGTAACAACAATAATAACATTTAATCACATTATACAGTTAACACATTAGATGGGTAACTGTAAGTAATCAAAAGTTTTAAAATGATTTTTGTAATTTTGAAGTGATTA